CCCCCCCCTGTTGATGAGCTTGTGTGTTTACTTCATACAGGGTATAATTTCCATGGATGTATAAGTCATACAAAGTTTTATTTCCAAATCACCATTCACCATACAGTGATGGAAATCCAAAACTATAGTTCCTACTTATGGTGTTGATGAGTTCCTTTGTGCCACCATACAGAGTAGGATTTCCAAATATAACTCTTATATGCTAATTTACTAAGTTCAAAATTTTATATTTGACAATGGAAATCCAAACTAGTCTTGATTCACGGTATTGATGAGCTCATTCGTGCCACCATCCTTATCTAATTTCAGTAAGAACTATTTCATACTGGCCCAATTTTTTTACCATATACAGTCAGAATTCCAAGTTTTTTAGTCATACTGTTGGAAATCCACCTCATCAACCGGTATGTGGCGAGATAAACTAGGTCATATTTTATTTAGTAGCCATAACTGCCTGGATTTTTTTTTTCCATACTTGTCTGGATTTCCAGATTCTGTTTCTCCATATACAGTTGGAATTTCGGGGTATTTTCCCCATCATACAGTGCTGGAAATCCGACCTCCATAAACTGGAATGGCCCATTGTAATTCTCCACCATGGAGAATTACTTGTCAGTCATACTCAGCGTTCTTCCCACACTTCATGTCAAGCATCACGGTCAATTTGCATAACAATAAATCTAATTTGCATAATTATATTTGCATAATAATCAGTTTTTTCCAACAAATTTGGTCAATCTACAATTAATTAAAAACATATTTTTATATTTGATAAATTTTATATCATTTTACTGCATTGTATTTTATGTTTTGTATCAAGTAACAGCATAAAAAGGAAAACAAATTGAAAGACTTGTGTTATAGCCAGTCAGTGAATATAATGTTATCCATGGATGTAACTGGTTCATCATTGTGTACAAGTTTTAGTGCCCATGTCACTGTCGGTTCATATAAACGTCGGGGAAACATTTTTTGGTTAAATTTCTAAAGTCTGCGAGATATCGAAATATGTTGAAATTAATAAATCAATAATTAGAAAAAAATTCTACAATGGCAGTTCGGCACTAATAGTCGGCAGTTTTTCATTGCAATATATAATGTGAATAATGCTACGATCATCGTAACATTGTCAGCTGACGGCATTGCATTGGACGGGTATTCACCGCTGCTATTGCGATCATTGGTATCTGAATTTTTGGTGTAAATTACACAAATTGTTTATTAAATGATTCATTGACGATTATCATCAAAATCGCCAACAAGATGTTGTTTTTTAAACATTGCGGAAAAACATGCACTCTGCGCCGCCATCTTTGTTACCTCGGTCAGAACCCCTCTGTAACCCAGCATGCTTCAATCACAAGGTTGCAACGTGCATTATGTCGCCTTAGGGTGGTGTTCTTAGCTACTAAGGCACCCTATGAGTGGGGTATTTTCAGAGGTCAGGGTTCGTTTTTTCTTAACCCGTCTCATCTGCTGTTGAAATATTTACACCTTTCTTTCCAATGCGACTTAATTGCACTTGTTTTTTTTTAATTTTGGGGTAATTATTGTCACCGGCGATTGAGTGATAAAAAATTGGAGTGCAGCAAATCGGGGTTGATCTTCCCGACGTGCTCCGTGACTTGTTTTGTCACATTATTGCCGTTGCGTGCAATGGGCAAATTATTGCTACTCCAGTTTTTTTTTTCGATTTTGAGGCTCTGCACCCTTGAAAGACTTCGCAACTTATTGCAGATTTCTGTTTTTATCACTGTCTTTGTATGGCTAACAAAAGCGGGATTACCTTTCGATCAATACATGTTATTGTTTTAAATTTGTGCAAGACGAGACTGACACTTGTAAAGCAATAAGCATCACGGCGGAGTGTCCAAGCGTCACGATATCGTGTCGCTTCAGAGGCCTGGGGAGCACACTGGTCATACTGTCACAAAACTTTGGTTATACCAAAGGTATCCAGGTCAGATGCTGGAACTGAGGTCGCTGTGCCGGTCGCCATACATGATACACCGCGTCCCACCGTGTCTCAAATTTTGGTCGAACCGAATACCACTGAACGTCAAATATCCACAATTACAAGTAGTATGATAAGTCACAAAACCGGTTTATTTCACAACTGTACTTTCAATGGACAAATTACAATTCAAATTGTACAAAAAACGGAATGAAAACGTGGAAAATCTGTTGTTTTAATGATCCAAACTGTACACAACCCTGTATTTCAAATGGCATTGACGCAGTCAGTAAAAGGTCATCTTTTGCCAATTTGTGTGTTTATGTTGCTCTATTTACTGTGGATACATTTCTTTTTCATGCGAAATAAAAATTAGTTTGTATTCAATTTGAACTGTGTTGCGCATGTAATTTCTGTATGTATTCTGCGTACAAATACATAATATTCTTATAAGTATTTATGTTCAAGGGCCATAATCATGATCTTTAGTAGATGAAAGTAAACTCTTTTTTTAGCTCCGCTGTCGACTTTGTCGAGCAGAGCTTATCATATGAGTGATTGTCCGTCGTCGTCCGTCTCCGTCGTCGTCGTCCGTGTCAATGTTTTACTTTTTCGGCTTCTTCTTGAAAACTACAAGCCTAAATGCTTTGATACTTGGTGTATATGTACCTTGGGTAGACCTCTCTCAGATTTGTTCATTTCATGATGATATCTTCAATTCTCTAATTTTGGTGAATATTTTTGTCATTTTTAGTAAAAAGTGATATTTTCGACTTCTTGTTGAAAACCGCAAGTGCAATTGCTTTGATATTACATATATAGGTACTACATGTGGACCTCTCTCAGATTTGTTCATTTTGTAATGATATCTTTAATTCTCTAATTTTGGTGAATATTTTTGTCATTTTTGGTAAAAAGTGATATTTTCGACTTCTTGTTGAAAACCGCAAGTCCAATTGCTTTGATATTCACATATATAGGTACTACATGTCGACCTCTCTCAGATTTGTTCATTTTGTAATGATATCTTCAATTCTCTAATTTTGGTAAATATTTTTGTAATTTTTGGTAAAAAGTGATATTTTCGACCTCTTGTTGAAAACCGCAACTCCAATTGCT